ATGTTGCATTGTATTCAAGGTGGTATAATCCAGATGTTGCATTGTATTCAAGGGGAAAATTATACAGATGTTGAACTGAGTCCAGGCAGGGAGGGATCCAGATGTGGCATTTAATTCAATGGTAAAATAATCCAGATGTTGCATTTCATAAAAGCGGAGGAGAACCCAGATGTGGCCTGTTCTGGGGCCTTCGAGGTAACCAGGACTTAACCACCACCCCTGTTTCTGTGGCCTCGGCCCTGTTTCCTACCTTTATGTGTGAATCTGTCCCTTTCATCTTAGCCCCTTTGGGCTTGTGGTGGACTTCTTGCGGGTTTGGCTCTACTTTCTGATTGGACGGCTGACTTTTGTGCAGTTTTTCATGCACTCCTTCACATCCGGTGACGCTAATGGAAACAAAATCATTCCTGGCTATAAAATTCTTACATTTTTAACAGCTTTTTATGTTATTTATCTGGTTGAGATTTACTTTTTTATTCCCTTGGAGCCTTTTTGCAGCTCTTAATCTCCCTTTTTCAGATCCTCCTTTTTGGTTTAAAAAGTCCCTTTGAGAGGCTGAGGGCTCCTGGTGCCATTTATTTTCCACCAGTGTGAATGCATCTGTGAAAAACACTCGACGAGTCTCATTTCCTGTGACAATTCAGCAAATTGGAAGCTTTGTGGTGTAAATGTCACACGGGGTGATGAGAGGAAGCCAGACGGTGCAGAGGAGCCAGTCTGTGCAAGTTTGAGCTCCGAGACGCTGGAAAATTTCAGTCCCCAGAATGAAGCTGCTGCAAAGCCTCTTAATCGTCCATCTGAGCGCTGTCTGTGGAGGTAAAGATCCCCTTCTGCTTCTAAAAGACGCCTTTAGAATCACAACTATTTCACAAATATTGTTTTCCATTCTTCAACTCTAATAATCATTTTAGAAACATTAAATTGTTTCTGTTTTAATAGAAACAATTTTTGTTTTTTTGGGTGAAGGTGAAACAAATGTTTGTTGTTGATTAACTTTTTTCCTAAAACAAAAAAATAGATTAAAAAAATATGTTAAAAACGAAGTGTCGACTTGAGCATCAAAGATAGTTTTAAGATTTGATCTGGTTTTAAAAAATGTGGTTTTGTTATCTACCATACTGAATCACAAGTCTTTAAAGATTTAAACCATCTGACTAGAAAACATGATACTGTTTTTTTAACCTCTAAGCAGGCATATTTTAATCTCCAAAGTGTCTCATTACCGCAGCTTTCTGCATCTTTTTCTGCTTCTTCTCTCATTTTCAGTCCTGTTAGCTGAACTTTTTCAGAGGAATGTGTTTTTACTTGGTTGAAAAGAGGCCCCTAACTCAAGGGCTGAGCCAGCGTTGTGTCCAATCAGCAGAGCAGTAGTTTAAAGTGGATCTTTAGGCTTTTTGTCAGCAGCAGCCTGTCACAGAGACACATCATTTTTTCCAATTTTTTAGCTGATGGAGTAAAAAGCCCAAAGAAAACAGATTCTGATAGACAGGAAACAGGATTTCTGAGGATTCCCAAAGAGCTGCTGGCTGAAAACTGGGCAGATATCAGCTGGTAAGCAGGGAGTCTTGAAAACATCTGAGGAAACTGGACCAGTGGAGGACAGAAGAAGAAGAGCTGGGCCTAAAAAACTCTGTAATCCAGCAGATGAAGAGGATCTGAAAGGTAAAGAGGAGCAGATCCAGCAGAGAACTGAACAGGAGCTGAGAGCTGCATCTGGACCTCCAGCTGACCGTCTCCTGGTGGCCTCATCAGAAATGCTCTCCATGAAGGGGGGCTGTTAAGAAGCCCTTCTGAAGGAAGGAAACAGGGAGGAAAGGCATCGCTCTGCCAGAGGAACCAGAGGTGGACTGAACCCCAGCAGCTCTGATGGAGGGATGGATCCTCCAGAGCCGGAGCTCCACATCATGAAGCAGTGTGGGATCATGTGACAGAGAACGGAGCCAAAGGCAGCAGCAGCATCCAGAGAAGAGCTTTGGGATGTCCTCCAAGAAGCTGGAGAGCTGCTCCTGGAGACTCCTCCCAGAGAGGCTTCAGGATGGAGGAAGAAAAGCAAAAACACGGCTTAAAATGACCAAAAATACAGCAAAAAAAGGGGGAAAACGGCTAAATATTACCCCAAAAGGTAAAACAGAGCTAAAATGACCAAAGCCAAAAGAAATGAGGTTTCATGACGGAGGAGGAAGGAAATGTGTGAAATGTTTGATGTGTTTTTGGGAGCTGCTCCTGATGTTTCCCGCTTATGTGGCTCTCCCTGTTCCAGCTTTTGAAAACTCAACGAGTCCAGCCGGCCGAGCTGAAGCCAACACCACAGAAGACACCAATCCAGAGCTCAGAGGTGAGTGCCCCCTTTTCGTGTGAGATTACCATCATAACCGGATGTGGGTGGGGGGGGGACTGCAGGTGCAAACTGAGAAGAGGAGGCAGAGCTCCGGCTCCCACGCAGACGCTTCAAATGTCTTTTTGCTGCTTTTCTGCAGCACCAAACTGGGCCGCTTCCTCAACAACATGCTGCAAAAAAACAAAAAAAAACCCTTATGCTTCTGCTTTCAAAATTGATGCTTCCCTCCATTTTGTTTAAAGAAATGCAGCCGAAGTAGACGAAGATGAATCTGATTTTAATTTAAATGGGAATATCTAAGAAAAAGATATTGGGAATATTAGTCAGTATTAGTATTTTAAACCTTGTTTTACATCTGATGAGCAGAGATGCATGTAAAGGAAGAAAAGGCGGCTTTTAATACTGTAATTGGAAATTAAAACATTTAGTCACCGATTTGCAGCTGATCGCATTTATTCAAATCTAATGACAGATTTGAGCTAATAATGAACGAATTATATTCAAAATGTTTTAGCTGGAGGCTCATTTATTTGTTTTTTTTACGTGTTCTCATCTGTCCTCGTCCATCCTCATCTGTCTTTGTCCGTCCTCTCGTCTGTCCTCATTTGTCCTCTCATCTATCCTCATCCGTTTTCTCGTCTGTTCTCGTCTGTCCTCATCCATCCCTCGTCTGTCCAGATGCTCCCCGTGTCCAGCGTCTGGCGGCTGGGTGCAGCTGGACTCTCAGGACGGCCGGCCCGGATGCTGGCCAGCCGGTGTCCCTCCCGTCGTACGCCCTGAACACTCTGGCTGATCAGGTGTGTAAGGACCTGGGCTGTGGGGGGGTCTACAGGGTGGACAGGACCCCCCCGCCGCCCGGCGCCGCCTGCCTCCGGCACTGCACGCTCAGAGGACGCCACCTGATCAACTGCACCCGGGACGCCGCCGGCCGCTGCCCCGCGCTGGACCAGGTGGTCTGTGGTGAGTCCAGAACCAGATCTGGTCCTCAGAGAGGGACAGCCTGGTGTGAGAGGCCTGAGGACAAAGCAGAGACATGAGCAGAGGACAGACAGTTATTCAGGCTAAACGGGCTTTAACTTTCACGTTTACCAGAAGATCTGTGAGAAAGAGCCCAGATTTCCTGCTGTGATGGACGTTTAGATTTCTTCATTAATCTGAATAAAATGTGAAATTCTGTCCTGGGGGCCACAGGCTGTTGAGGGTGAAATGTATATGTTTCTTCTCCCTCTTCTTCTTCTTGTTCTTCTTCTTCTTGACTTTGTCCTGTTGTATCTGGGAGCCTTTCTCTGTATTCTCCCCCTAAATCCTAAAACCTGAACCCTCGTTTGGTGTGCTGGTCTCTAAACTCTACCGAGCAGATCGAGGTGGATGGTGGAATGAGGGCGACGTCTTGTTTAGATCTGCTGTCTGAGCTGCGCTAGCGGCCAGATGTGGCTCTTTTTTAGGGGAAACCTGCCGGCTTTCAGCTCCTGTTTTAGCTCGGTGTGTAACTCTGAGAGGCCTCCGGCTTCAGGATGTGTGGGAGAGGCTTTGCTTGATGCCTGCCTGCTCCGGTTTTGTCCCTTTTCTCGTCGGGGAGTTGAGGGTCAGTTAACCGGGTTTGAGTGTGACTGAACATCTGGGTTTTTTTATTTATTTATTTATTTTTTTTAAAGCTGGATTTCTGCTAGTGGGTGCATCAGTTTTATAACCACTTTTGGAGGGTTAAACCTGAACCCTGGATTTGGTGTGCTGGTCTCTAAACTCCACCGAGCAGATCGAGGTGGATGGTGGAATGAGGGAGACGTCTTGTTTAGATCCACTTTTGGAGGGGTTAGTTTGAGGGGCAAAGCATTTATTTTAAGGGGGCTATGCCGCCTCTGGCCCTTTTAGACCCGCCCTGGCTGGGACCAGAGGTCAGTGGGCTGGCCTCTGACTGATGATGTCATCCCCAGGTGACCAGCAGGTGCGTCTGGCCGGCGGCCCGGACCGCTGCGCCGGGCGGGTGGAGGTGTGGCGAGATGGGCAGTGGGGCACGGTGTGCGATGACCAGTGGGACCTGAGGGACGGCGGGGTGGCGTGCGGCCAGCTGGGCTGCGGCTTCGCCCTCAGCGTGACGGGGCAGGGCGGGGCCTTCCCCCCCGGCAGGGGGCCCGTCCACCTGGACGAGCTGGGCTGCTCCGGCCGGGAGCCCAACCTGTGGGCCTGCCCGGCCGCCCACAACCAGTCCGACTGCGGGCACAAGGAGGACGCCGGCGTGGTGTGCTCAGGTCAGAGGCGCTCCGGGAGATGGAACCAGGCCATGAATATTCCCAAACCGAAAGTGAAAGCAATAAAAATTTTTTTACAAAATTACAAAAAAAAGCAGAATAAATAAATTGATTAAAAAAACATTTTTTAAAAACACCCTTATAAAGGCCCCAAAGTATTACTCTTTTTTTTTTTAAGTGATGGCAAAAAAATGAATAAATGAAATAGATAATAATTTAAAAAAAACATTTTAAAGAATCACCTTAAAAACGGTGAAAGTGAAAGCAAAAAACAAAGACAAAGAACATTAAAATACTTTTTTTTTATCACATCTAAAAAGGCCCCAAATTATTAATCTTTTATTCATATGTTATCTGAAAGTTTTTATTGTTTTTAGGAATAAAAAATGTAAAATAAGCTCTTTGTTCCCAAGTGGGGCAAATTCTTATAGCTCTGAATTTATATAATAAAAAGCATACGATAACAGTAACAATAATTGATTAAAATAAGTGTGAAAAGCCGTCTTTATAAAAGCCTCCAAACTAGTTTCACACTGAGTCTTAATAGGACTGATGTGCATGCTCACTATAAAACAATAAAAAAACAAGACAGGATAAACCAACAGAGACACTCAGAGATAATTGGATTTATTTTTTATTTTAGGTGTAAAGCGAAACCAGATGTGCAGCTTGTGTGGAGCATCATTTTAATTTCTCAGCGCTCTTAAAAGACAAAATCCACTGAATTTAATAAAAAAATGTTTTCTAGCTCAGTTTTGCCTCAAATTTGCTTAGAAAAATGGAAAATAACACCAACCGAACAGCTCTGAAACACAGCAGAAGGGAAAAAATTCTCATGGATCCACCGAAAGCTGCTGGAAATGGTTCAGAGAAGGGTTTTTTTTTTTATTCAAAGCACAAATACGAAACTTATCTAATGTTTCTGCTGCTCCTGTGCAGAGATGAGGGCCATCCGGCTGACTGGGGGCCTGGATCGCTGCTCTGGGAAAGTGGAGATCCATCGTAACGGCAGCTGGGGGGAGCTGTGCGATAACTGCTGGGACGAAGACATGGCCTCCATGGTCTGCTCCCTGCTAAACTGTGGGGAAACGCCCCAGAAATACACTGCCTTTTTGCCTCCTTTCAGCCGCAACGAGGAGACACCGTTTTACTATTATTCATGTGGAAAGGACCAGAGTCTCTGGCAGTGTGAGGAGCATATCAATCACCCTTATTATTGCATTAGCTCCAAACCCTCTGGTGTCATCTGCAACGGTGAGTGCTGGTGCCTGCTTTTTTTTGTATTTTTCTTGGATGAAAATAAAAGAAAACAGGCAAACACATTTTTATTTCCCACATTTTTTAAATAGTAACAGGCAGCTGTGTGATGTGACAAAAGACTCCTTAAATTCACAAAGCATCTCAATTCAAAGTAGAAAACCCAAAAAGTAACAAAACAATTGCTAAAAATCTTTACAAAAATCACAGGAAATGTCAGAATGACACACTTAACTCTGTGAAAACCACAAACCTGACTCTTGCTGTCTGATATTTACTAAACCTCTTAAGTTTTTAGACATAAAACGCACACTCAGCTGTTTCTGCCTCAAAGGACAGATGGAGTTAACCTTAATATCCTCTCTTCTTTTCCTCCTGCAGGCTCGCTCGGCCTTCCTAATGCCACCGTGGCTCCGACTGGCGAGGTGACGCAGAAGACGACTGGTAATACAGCAGAACCTCTACCTACGATCACCTAAACATAAGAATTTTACAACATCCAAAGTGAAATTTGATCAAATATTCGACTTGACACCCAAAATAAATTTCCAACATGACGTGGAAGTCATTGAAAAAAAAAATTTAAAATTAAAATTTAATAAAAATAAATAAGATAAGTTAGTTTAAAGTTCACGTTAAGTTAGGGTACGTCCTGTATCTCATTCTCTTCCTCTCTCAGCCTCTAAAAAACCCCTTCCGTTGAATATTTCTTTATGTTTTATTTCTTTTTACATCTCTCTTATATGATGGATTTGTTTTATTGCTATGTGTAATTATCTGCAGTTTTAATTAAGGAGCTATCGTAGGTTTTTCGGCTGAGGAACGAATGAAACAAATTACAGTGTATTCTGATGGGAATATTTCAACCAACATACAAATATTTTAACACACAAAGTAGGTCCTGGAACGAGTTTGATTCCTATGTAGAGGTTCTATTGTACTTTAGATGTAGCCCTTTAAACACGACTGCCTCTGTGAGTGTTGGATGAACGACCAGAAAGTGAAATAATGATGTTTTCCCTCCCCTGACCCAGAAGCGTGGACCCGGCTGGTGCCGGCTGCTGCTGCTGGGCCCAGCTTCCCGTCCCTGGAGCTCCTGAGCTGCATGGTCCTGTCCGTGGTGCTCCTCGTCTTCCTCATCATCAACACTGTGCTCTGCTGCCTCTACCGAAGAAGAAACGGTTGGTTCTCGGCTCTCCACCAGCCGTCACAGTCCTTTAATCTGCAGCAGTTGCATCGGATTCAAGGAGCTTTTTTTTATTCTATTGCCTTGAATGCAAATTAACAGAGCAAAACAGTCAAACAGAGAAAAAAATGGGTCTACTCTGTCACAAAAGAGTAACACCGTAATGGGTATAGCACATATCTTATCTAGTTCTGTTGTCCAGACTGACATTCATTGAGTTTCAACCAGGTGGAGATGTGGCACGGCCAGGCCCGGTTCTCCCCCAGACCCACAACTGTTCCCTTCAGCCCCTGAAGGGGAATAAAACCAGTTAGATTTGTATCTGTGTCAGGTTGTTCTCTGAGCAAGGCTGCAAAATTGCAGATTTCCTGCCATTGCGTTTTGTGGATTTGATGCTGTAGTGTGGCTGAGTCTACAGGCTGAGCAGACGGGGGCTGAAAACACACGTGGGTCTTCTACAAATGACTAAACTGGGTTGAGGATTTGATTTTGTAGTCATACATAGAGCTTTTCTCCATGATGAAAAAGCAACCGCATTCCTGTTTGCTTAACGCTAGGGATTTTGAAGATAGTTATTAGCCAAACTTGCCTTGGAGCTAGTATGCTAAAGCTAAAAGAAAAGTATTTTGAAGTTAAATTCAGGATAGTGTTTCAGAAGACAACCTCAGACAGCAGCTAGTGTGAAGTTCTACCTAAGGTTTGATTTGAGATTTTCTTTCAAAGGACAACCTGAGACATCAGATATTAAGTCAATGTAATTCTTTTTCCTCAATTTTGTATTTTTGTATTTTGAAGCTAGCTGTTAGCACATCCAACCTAGCACGAGCAAGCTAAGGCCTTATTGGTTTTAAGTGAATAGTGAATTGTGACTTTTTTGGACAACTTAAGACAGAAAGAAGGGGGCAAATGAGTGTGAAACGAACGTCGGAAATCAGGGCATTAACGTAAAATAACTGATAATCATTTTTTCTATCAGAGCTGCTTTATAAAAGTAATTTTTTTGTTACAAATGTGGCCTTTTCTGTGTATAAGCTCTATTGCAACTGAGCAGCGACGGCATGTTGGCCACAAAAGTCGTAAACACGAAGAACAAACCACACTACCACGATAAGGAAAAGCTTCTTTTTCTGTGTGTGCAGCTTTTTTACTGCAGCAGACCCGCAACAACCAGAGCCGGCCTTCCACTGGACGTCCCCAGAACGACCACAAAGAGGCCGTCAACCTGGTCAAAGTCACAGCCCACCCCCAGCACGCGGATGGTCAGTGCTCCGAGGACGCCAGTTCAATTCCTGCCCTCGGTTCAGAGCGTTTCGGCCTTTTTGCTTTCACCGTAACCCGAGCTGGGAACGAATTCTGAAAGAATGCATGAAGCATGCGGCCGCCTCATCACATCTCTTGTTTTCTGTTGTGTTTGTCCCACAAAGTCCCCTCCGACCCCAGGTATCTGTGGACGCAGCTTAGTAGTGCTGACAGCGGCTCAGTAGATACAGACTATGAGCAGTATGGCCCAAGCTATGACCCGCCCGTCCCTTTATCCACCTTTCGGAGTGAGCCAACTTCTCTTTGTTCCCATTAACGTTGTTTTTGCCTCTGCCTTTGCTGCCTGTGCAGCTTGCACTTTGCGGTGGAGGCGGCTCTGCTGGGTGTGCGAGTGCAGATGGATGCAGGCTGCAGCGCGCCATTCAACCTCTGCATCGGTCTGTTTTTAAACCTCTGCATCGTGTCTGTTCCATGCAGATTCTCAGCGGTACAAAACAGAGGTTTTGCCTTTGAAGCCTTCAGGTCTCGACAGTCTCTGTGAAGAAAGTGAGTCATTTTAATTCGAGAAAATGAGCTTAACACAGGTATCAACCTAAGATTAGTCAGGCTTCAGTGGTTTAGCTCTATTTTGTGGTAATCCACACATAGAATGAGAATAAAAAGACTTGAGGATACAAATGATTAGATGAAATGATACAATCATGAAGGCAAACAAACATTTAAGCCAGAGAAAATCAAAAACTTAAAAGACATCAAGATAGATTAATCTTAACCTTTTTTAACTTGTTTGTGCTTTCCAAAACTTTTCTGAATTGGAAAAAATTGAACAGGTTAAGAAAATAAAAATAATCCATCAAAAAGAAAAATTATGAACCATGAAAAAATTATTTAAAAGGCTTTATCATAGATTCATAACTGAATAATAAAGATAAGTCAAACTGATAATTGATTTTATTTAGTCTCATTCTGCATTTTTTGGGTTGAATAAGATTACAGCTCTCTTTTAAAATATTTGTTAATTTTTTACAATTTTCTGTCTCATATTAAAAACATCTAAAACATTTCTAAATTCTAGCTGATATTTTACCTGATTTGTTCTCGGTTTAAACAGCAGACTGGATTTAGACAGTTATTATAAGTAACCATTTGAATAATTTCCATTTTGCTTTATGTACTTTGTCTTCTGTCTTCAGGCCCTAATCGTCCAAATGAAGCCTTCAAAAACCTAAATGGAGTCCCAGAACCCACCTACAGCAGAGTGTCAAAGATTTCAGAGGACTCGTTCGACTCCTCCAGCACCTCCTCCGGCGAAAGCTACGAAAACTTAAATGCAAACTATGTGAACTTCACTCCAGGTGGCTTCAAATGTTTCTGCTTTTACTGCATTTTATGACTGATTTTCTTTGTTATGAAGTATTTGGGTTGATATCTTTATCATTTATGTGTCATTTTACCACATTGCTAACATTTTCTGATGAGGACTTTATAATTTTCCTCATTTCTGAGGAAAACATGTAGAGCTTTCATCTTATTTATGCTCATCTTGCTTTTGATAGGTAGTTATAATGGATTTCTGCCATTAGGGCTCAGAAACGGTCAGAGGTCCCTGAACCAAAATACAACAACAAAAGTAAAATAGCGCTAAAAAGACCTGAACAAAGCCAAACATGCAGTTGAGCTTTAGAGCTCCAAAGTTCTGCTTTTCAGACCAGACAAAGAACAGAAAGTTGCCCTGAAACGACAGGAAATGAATCTCCAGACCAAAGCTTCTTTTGCTCTGGTTGAGGTGTCTGTTTGGGCCCCGGCTTTCTTTCTCTGACCCTTTTCCTGCTGTGCTTTGGCTGCAGATGCTGGAGCGGAGCTGGGAGCCTTCAGCTACCCGCCCCCCCCGGAGGCCCTGCTCCTCGCCGGAGCCCCGGACGGTTCAGGTGAGCTGCTCACAGCCGCCGGCCCCCGGACGGGGAGCGGGAGGGTTAGTGACTCTGTGCTGCTCTGAACACCAGATGACGACTACTCCCCCGTGAGCCCCGACTGAAAACCCACCAGGACGCCGTCCAGGACGCCGTCCAGGACGCCGTCCAGGACGCCGTCCAGGAGCCGGGAACGCTCGGACCCGGGTTCAGATGCAGGCGTCCACAGCGGCTCCGAAACCACCGAAAAAAATGCTGTTTAGGCAAGTTTTTTCAGTCACAAACTCAGAAAAATCAATGTGTGTCAGAAATTTTTTTGCCAGTTGAGTAAAGCTGAGCTGAGCTACAGTCCCCTTTAAAGCATGTGTGTGTCATACAGGAAGCAAACTCAGGAAATCAAACTATTATTGCGAATGTGAAAGAAAATGTGATTGTGTAGAAATAAAGAATAAAGAATGTTTTAAGGAAAGCTTTGCTTGACTTGTTGAAACTCTGTTCTGTTACACTATGAGGAAAATGAATGTTTTGTCTTGTTATAAAAGTGTTTTGAATTATATTTTTCCCAACAATTAGTCATTTTGCCCTTTTTAAATTTAATAAAGCTTGATTATTCAAACTATCAGACAAAGTGTGTAATTAAGCACACATTTTTGGACCTCCACAGTTCCTGCAGGAAAGCTGCCGGAGCACAGACTAAGACAAGCGAACATAAACTGGGGGGGCTCGAGTGTTTTAACTGTTCAGGTGTTTGTGTGCAGCCACAGCTGGCTGTGAGGTGACAGGACGCCCCCCAGTGGACGAACAGAAGCATAGTTCTGGTGGAAAACAGGACGTATGCAGCCAATCAGCATCCTTCAGCACCACGGACAGAGTCTGAGCCCCCCCCCAATAAATATTTCCAATAAAAAACAGGCGGATTAACCATGATAAAGCTTTATTAAACAGAAAGTAGAGTATAAAACAATCCATAAAGTGCAGCTCCCCGTTTCCCCTCAGATAAAAATGGATCGTCACAGAGCCCTGAGATGTGGACCATCAAACCCCAAAAACCCAAAGGAAAAGCACTTTTAGACTTTTCCTTAAATCCAGAAAACATTTGTTAGCCCTGACGTTTAGCGATTAGCAGCTATTTTTACTGGTCATTGATTTATATTAGCTGTCCCTTTTTAGAGCACATTACTGTGTTTATAAGGATAGAAAACTGCTTGTCCTCAGCCAGTTTGTTGTCTGCGCCACCTTTAGCACGCAAAGAATGTATGGTTGATGTGACCAAAGAGACCAAAGAGAGGTATTTTAAGCTTTGAAGTATGTCAAAGTAAGTAAGTATCTTAAATTGTAATCTGCATTTGAACTGCCCTCTGGTGAGGTTTTATGATGTGGCATGCTAGATATAATTCCTTTCATGACTTTAAGAGGCTAATGCTAATATGTAGTGTTTATGCTAGGCTAAGCTAACTGGCTAGCCTCTTCATCAGCATGTGGACGATAAAACCCCAAGAAACCCAAAGAAAAAGCCCCATCAGAAGCTCTGAGTGTCCCCCAGCTGGCCGGAGATCCTCCCTGACCCGGTGCCCCCCCCTGACCGGGTCCAGGTGGTGGTCCTAGCATATTGGGATGGCGCCCGAGCAGCAGGCCACCTCGTAGATGACGCTGAGCAGGCACAGGCCGCCGGCCGCCAGTGTGGGGCTGGAGCTGAAGATGCTGCCGTCCTGGGTGGTGCTGGGGGGCGGGGCCAGCGTGGTGGGGGCGGGGCTAACAGAGAAGGGGGCGGAGCGGGCGGCCCAACTCTCCAGGCTGAAGGCCAGCGTCAGGTTTTGGCCTGCAGGAGCACAGCAGAGGTTACAGACGCCGCCCGGGAAGTGGACCAGCTGGACCACCTGGACCGGCTGGACCACCTGGACCTGCTGGACCACCTGGACCTGCTGGACCAGCACTAGCTGGACCACCCGGACCGACATCAGCTAGACCACACTGGACCGGCTGGACCAGCTGGACCAGCTGGACTGGCTGGACCAGCTGGACTGGCACCAGCTGGACCCCCTGGACCGGCCCCAGCTGGACCACCTGGACCACCTGGCCCTGCTGGACCAGCTGGACTAGCTGGACTGTCCCCAGCTGGACCAGCTAGACCACCTGGACCTGCTGGACCACCTGGACTGGCTGGACCAGCAGCTGTAAACTCACCGCTCTGCAGCACGGACAGGCCGGTGAAGTTGGCCCAGCAGGAGCTGAACCGGATGGTGGCGTTGCCCCCCAGGCCGCCGGCCGGGTCCCCGCTGGCGTCCTCCAGGGTTGCCGTGGCGGTGAGGGTGGTCACGCCCACGGAGACGCAGTTGCCCTGCAGACCACCGCTCAGGTCAGTTTTAGGTGAACCAGGCAGAGCAGCTCTGGTCCAAACCAGAAGCTCTGGTCTGAGGTTTACAGCCTCTGGAGACGCTGCTCTGGGAGTTTCTATCTTTAGTTACCACATCGTTCCATTCTGAGGGTTGATGCTTTTTCATGAAAAAAGCACTAATGTTACTGCTTTTCCATTTATTTACAACTTTATTCTAGTAATTTATTCTTTAGAAATGTATTCATGTCAAAATGTATTCTCGGGCTGCAGCGTAGCCTAATGGCTGGAGCGGGCGGACCATATGCGGAGCCTCCGCTCACAATTGGGCGGCCTGGGTTCGATTCCAGCCCATGGCCCTTTCCTGCAGGTCTCCCCCTCTCTATCTCTGCCCCCTTTCCTGTCAAGCTACTGTCATTAAATGCCACTAGAGCCCAAAAAAAATAAAAACATTATTCTCTCCATATTTACTCAATTTATTCTTTTAAACTTTTTTTTGCAGAATTTATTCTGGCCATATTTAATAATGACTTTAGTCTCGTAATTAATTCTTTAAAAATGTGTTTTTGTCATAATATATTCTTTCAGCTCAGTTTGACCCCTCCGTCATTTCACTTGAATTCAATAGAATAAACGGGCTGAGCCCAGACCCCCCCATGTGCCCCCCCCCCCCCCGTGTGCCCCACCTGCTGGTCCACAGCCATCAGGCTGGGCTGCTGCAGCAGAGGCCCCACCGTCTGGCCGGCCAGTGGCTCCACCACCAGCAGCAGGGCGGCCACGCTGGACAGCCGGCTGCTGCTGGGATCCTCCCTACTGGCCTCACCTGACGCCACCTGGGGGGAGAGAAGCTTTAAGGGGGGGGAAGCTGACACCTGGGGGGGAGAAACTATAAGGGGGAAATACTTTAACCCTTTAAAGCCTGATCTCAGAATAAAACAAAACAGAAAATTACTTTTTTTTGTTTGAATTCCTTATTTGGCCTTTTAACAAAATATGTAAAAAGAAAAAACAGATATACATTTTTTATATTAATAATTTATTACTATGCGATAAGTCAAGATTGTTTTTTGTGTAGTCTTCTGCCCCCAGTTATCAGGTATATCTGATTGTGTGCAATAGGATTTTGAGCAAAGTTTTTACCATTAAATTATGCAAAAGGTGTCAGACGCAAAACATTTCAGAAACCGTATGTATCAAATATGATAAATTTGGCATTACAGGGAACTTTAAGGTGCTGCCAGCTGAGACAGTGAAGCTTTAAGGGGGAAGAAGCTTTAAGGAGGGAGAACTTTAAGGTGCCAAGGTGTTACGGCAGCAGGGGGGCCCGGCTCACCTCCTTCCAGCTGGGGTCAGAGGACGGGGGGGGCGGCGTAATCACGCCCAGCGAGGACACGTTGAAGCCGATGGACTGGCTCAGGTTGCCAGAGACGGCAGCCTGACCCAGGTCATCAGCCAGCCTCTGCAGCAGCTCAAAGTCCTCGTCTGGAAGAAGAGGGAGGGATTTATGCTCACCGCCTCATCTGAGCTTCATCTGAGCAAAGTTACAAACAAGCTGACGACACTAGAAAATCACTCAGGTTCCACAGGTGGAGTTGTATTTATACACAGTGAAAAACAATAATACATAGATACATACAATACAATGATATATAGAAATATATATATACATATATATAAAATCTAAACAAAAACTAGGCAACAGTAGTATTTATTCATGGTAAATAAAATAATAATAGTGACGACAAAAAATTTAAATAAGAATATAACTAATAAGAAAAATGTATTAATTAAATATTAAGTATATATATAATAATTTGTATAATAATAATAACAAATGAAAAAAAAATGAAGTAAGTAAACAAGAAAAATATGTGTCAAAACACTGTACTAATTTAAAGTAAATAATAATAATAATAATAATAATAAACAGATAAATTGCCCTCTAACCGGAGCAGGTTAAAAACCCTCCCGAGACGTTGCTGGTGTTAGAGCTCACCGTTGGTGCTGTTGGTGCTCTCCTGCTCGGGGGGCTTCTGAATCTCCACCTGCACCGTCAGGCCCGTGGACCTCCTCCTGCGGCGCCGCCCGCCGTCCTCACGCACCACCTTGCTGATGCGGATCATGCTGGGGGGAACCTTGAGGAACAGGGCTAGGTTCTGGACCAGGTTCTCCCCAAAGAACTCCTCCTCGGTCATGGCGGGCATGTCGAAGGCCAGCACCAGAACCGGGGAGGTCCGGATCTCCACCGGCGTGGAGCCCCTCAGCAGGACCCTCTGCATCTTGTAGTCTCGGTCAAAGTAGTTGGCGCCCAAAGTGGCGTTCATCTTAGGAACGAATTCGTCTGGAGGGCAGAAAAGTCCGGTAAAAAACAGGTTCAAACGCTGCAGGGTGGAAAACAACTGCAAACATTAAGGTAACAGTTACATTAAGCTAAGCTAGTTGATACATTAAGCTAATGGCTTCACCAAGGTAAGCTAACAGATACATTTAACTAATGATTTCTACAAGCTAAGCTAATGGATACATTACTGTAACAGTTATGCTAAGCTATGCTAATGGGTACATTAAGCTAATGGTAACAATAAGGTAAGCTAATTGATGAATTAAGGCAATGGTTTCAACAAGCTAAGCTAATGGGAACATTACACTAACAGTTATGGTTACACTAAGCTATGCTACCACACTGAGCTAGTAGTGGCTTGCTGCTGTATTTAGCCTCACATTTAAGTGTTGAGCTGTGCAATATAAACAACATCTTTTCAAAGACTAATCAAAGAAATTTCTATCTGCAAAGCGCACCAGCGGACGTCGGCTCCATCAGGGTGTAGTCTGTCCTGTCGGCGTTCCAGTTGGCGTTGGTTGGAGCCACTAGCTTGTTGTTGACGTACACATCCAGCCGCTGGGGGTTCGAGTAGAAGACCGACACCAGGACGCTCTGCGAGGGGTCGACAGAGGGTTAGAAGAGAGCCCCCAGCCCAAAGCACAGACCCCCCGAGGCATTCGCTGACCTCAGCGGGGTCAGAGTTCAGCATCAGGAGGCGGAGCTTCTGTGGGCTGACGCTGGTGAAGTAGACGTCGAAGGCGTGGCCGGCGGCCATGATGGCGTGGAACAGAGACACCCGCTTCTGGCAGGTGTAGCCGGCACACCAGCCATGGTCCTGAGGTCCTGAGGAAGGAAAAAACACAGATCCAAAAGCCGCCCCTCCAGCAGAACCGTGTCCAGAGTCCTGAGAGGGGCGCACCGTTGATCAGGTCCACAAAGCCGCCGCCCAGCACGGCGACCGGCGACAGGCGTCGGGTCTCCGTGTCCGAGTCCAGACTCTCCACCACCACCATCCTGTAGTCCAGCCCAAAGCACCGGTAGCTCTGCCAGGAGTCCACGTAGGTGCAGTTTTTCCTGATCACGCCTGAACACACCATTTCAACAACAGAACACCTCAAAATAATGCAGAATTATGGATTTAATAGGTGGATCAGACCAGAAATGGGACATTTTCATTTCAACAACGTTGTCTTCCTGTTTCATTTTGTTTTGTTTGTTGGATCTGGAGGAACAAAGATGAATATTTACTAAGAAAATTACCGGCAGAGAAAGAAATCAGCAACTAAGAAAGGAAGGAGCCGCGTTCAGTGCAGTGGTCATTTCATTTCCTGTTTTATTTTGAAATACTAAGCTGTTAGAATTTGAAATAGTTACTTTTTTAATTTGAAATAGTTACTTTTTTAATTTGAAATAGTAACTCTTTTTATTTAGAGCTAGCAACTCCAGTTTTATTTTGAAATTGTAACTCCTGTTTTATTTTGAAATAGTAACCCTCTTGTTTCTGGTCATTTTTCGATTGTTTGTTTGTTCACTTAAAAATGAAAAACCAGTAAAAAGAAGTCAGAGAAGCTGCCAGGCGTCTCTGACCTTTGTGGGGGGCGATGTGCTCCACGGGGATCCTGCTGCCGTTCAGGGCGGTCAGCATCACTTTGGGGATGCGATAGTCCCCCAGACCTCTTCGAGGGTCTCCCCCCCATTCAAACTCCGACTGGGGCACCACAGCCCCCTGGGCCCCCAGGAACGAGCCGTCCAGGTCCTTCAGCAGTGTCTTCTTCTTGGCGTCGCACTCCATGTCCACGCAGTCCGACGGGTTCACTTTGCTGCTCCCAACAAGAGAAAGAGAAAAGCTGTTAAAGGTACAGCAGAACCTCTACCTACCATCGCCTAAACATATTGATTTTTCAACATCCAAAGTGAAATTCAATCAAGTATTCGACTCGACAAGCAAAGTAAACTTCCATTCTTCGCTTATGAGGAGAAGTCAGATCATTGCAGAGGTAATTTTACACCAATTGAGGACACATTTAGAAATGAAGAGAATGATTTTAGCTAATAAAATACCACACAATGTCCATTTAACCTCAAACTTAAGCTCGACCCAGGTGGGACTTGAACCCACAATCCCCAGCTCCGGAGGCTGATGCCTTATCCATTAGGCCACTGGGCCTTTTTGTCATGAAGGCAGGGACCAATTAGGTCTCCATTACGATTGGATTTTACACCAAATGAGGAGATATTTAGAAATGAAGAGAATGATTTTAACTAATAAAATACTACACAATGTCCCTTTAACCTCAAACCTTAAATTTAAGCTCGACCCAGGTGGGACTTGAACCCACAATCCCCAGCTCCGGAGGCTGATGCCTTATCCATTAGGCCACTGGGCCTCCCTGTTGGAATTCACTGCCATATATGGCTGCAATACGATTGGACTGACCCGACATTAGCCCTGTGGATGAAGACTTTGGCCTGCTCGCTGCTGTGCAGCGTCCTTATGGCCGACACCTCAACCGGGTGCTGCAGGTCCTCGTTCAGCGGGTTGGTCATGAACATGAAGTCGGTTTCACCAGAACAGACGTCGCCAAAATGGACAAATGTGGTGTCTGAAAAGAGGGGATAAACAGGGCTGTGACGCCAGAAGGATTCAGAGAGGCTGTTTCCCTTTACGGCGCCGAGGAGCCCAGACCAACCTGTGACCCTCATTAGGCCTTTGATGGCGTTATAGTTCATGTTCAGGTGATGCGGTTTGGCTGGAGCCGTGTTGTGTGCCGACTGAAAGGTGGGCCAGCAGATTCCTGATCTGCCTCCTGCACACGATAAGACAGAAAATCTCTCATGACTGGTCAGACCAAACATCTGCATCTCCCTGTCTGAAGGCAGGCGTCCCCCAGGGCTCACTGCTGGGCCCACTGCTCTTTGTATATCAGCTCTATGCAGATGATACTCAGCTCTATGTTTCACTTGGCGATTCCTCGTCTGAAATTCGCTCTTTTTCCCTCATTCCTTCTCAGGTTACAGGAACTTAGAGTCCTGATTGAAAACCTTTGACCTTATGGGCCACCTAACAACCTCCTAACAGCCTCCTAACAGACCTCCTAACAGCATCCAGCAGACTCCTGTTAGAGTTTTTTTTATAGAACTAGTTTTGTGTCCTCTGGGTTGGTTAGCCTCCCTCCCTAGCAGGAAGTGTGTCCCTGCTGGGGCTCGGTACCTGATGGGGGCCTGGGGGCTCGGTGGGAGGAGGTGGTCTCCACGTTGAAGTCGTCAGAGCTCAAAGTGTCCGAGCAGTTGAAGCTGGGGCTGCTGCCCACGATCCAGGAGTCCTGTGGGAGGAGGAGCTTGGTTCAGTCCCCAGACTGAGCAGCAGGGACCCCGGAGCCCGGACGGCCGTCCTACCTGGACCAGGACCGTCTTATCAGCCAGGGCGTGGGACAGCGAGGGGGGGCCGTAGACCAGGGGCATGACGCCCATCCCGTTCTCCACCAGGGTGACGTTGGAGATGACCACGCTCATGGAGACCTGGGGGGGGCAGGAGGGAGAGGCCAGTTCACTCCTCTGGATTGGTACCCACAGCCCTTATAGCCGACTGCCAACTCCAATCAAGACCTATCTATCTATCTATCTATCTATCTATCTATCTATCTATCTAT